GCCTGCACCTGTTGCGGACGGTTGAGTGGGTGGCGGGCCACTTTGGGGTGCCATTGGCGGCGGACAAGACTGAGGGCCCGACCGAGTGCCTCAGCTTTCTGGGTTTGGAGATAGATTCAGTGCTCGGGGAATGCCGGCTGCCCCTGGCTAAGTTGGGCGGACTGCGCAGTGCGGTGACCGCGGTGCAGCGGGCACGTAAGGTGACCCTGAGGCAGCTACAATCGTTGATCGGGATGCTCAATTTTGCCTGTAAGGTGATACCTATGGGTAGGGTGTTCAGCCGCAGCCTGTCGGCAGCCACCGCGGGGGTCGGTTCTCCACATCATTTCGTTCGGGTCTCTTCCTCGATGAGGGCTGACCTGGACGTCTGGAAGGTCTTTTGCAAGACTTTAACGGGACGGTGTTCTTCCGTCAGGAGAGTGTGTCCACGGCCGAATTGGAGCTGTTCACCGACGCATCGGGTAGCGTGGGTTTCGGGGCCTACTTCGGGGGGAGATGGTGTGCTCAGAGGTGGCCGGAGGCGTGGGGGCGAAGCCCCCTCATACGGAACTTGGCTTTTCTGGAGCTGTTCCCGTTGGTGGTGGCATTGGCCCTGTGGGGGGACCTGCTTCGCAACCGCAAAGTGGTCTTTTTCTCTGACAATATGTCGGTGGTGCACGCCGTCAATAACCAGTCGGCAGCATCCAAACCAGTGGTGAAGCTATTGCGGCGATTTGTTTTGCTGTGCATGTCCCTTAATGTAGTTTTTCGCGCGCGTCACGTGCCTGGGTATTTGAACGAAGTGGCTGATGCTCTGTCTCGCTTTCAGTGGTCCCGGTTTTGGGCGGTGGCTCCGGAGGCTCAGGAGACAGGGCAGGCGTGCCCAGACGAGATGTGGCAGCTCGGAGCATCATGCTTGGAGGACTCGTAACGGCTTCGCTGGCACCAACCACCTGGACCGCATACAGTAAGGTTTGGGGTGCCTGGGAACGTTCCTGGGAAGGGCTGGGCCAGGGGCCGCAGGTGGAAGCGTTGCATGATGCCTTCCTGTGGTTTACTTTTAATTTGCTGGCAAAAGGTGTGTCCCCCGCAATGGTTGATAGGACCATGGCGGCGATGGCCTTTTGGTTTAAATTCCACGGGTGGGAGGACCTCACGAAGGCGTTTGTTATTCGGCAAGCTCTCAAAGGGTATCGGAGGGGCCGGAGGGCGCCGGATGCTAGGCGCCCGGTCTCGGTTCGGGTACTTGGGAACTTACTCCGGGTGCTGCCCGGAATCTGCTTCGACGGGTTTGAGGTAGCCCTGTTCAGGGCAGCTTTTCTCTTGGCCTTCTTCGGGGCATTCCGGATAGGGGAATTGGTGAGCGCTACTCGGTCAGGGTCGGGGGGTCTGCAGGTATCCGGTGTTCGCATGCTAGCTGGGAATTTGGTAGTATACCTGGCTACGTCCAAAACGGACGTCATGGGTAAGGGCCGGGACGTGACGTTGGGTCCCCTGCCCGGGTCTTCTCTATGCCCGGTTACGGCAGTGGCTCGGTTCTTGGAGTTGAGACCGGCAGTTGGGGGGTCTTTATTGGTTCATGCCGATGGCTCCTCGCTCTCTCGTTTTCAATTTTCTAAGGTGTTCCGATCGGGCCTGGGGGCGTTGGGGTTGAGTGCTGCTGCCTATGGGACTCATTCCTTTCGCATAGGGGCGGCCACCGAGGCCGCACGCCTGGGCATGGGGGACGAGTTAGTCAAGAGGATCGGGAGATGGGAATCCGCTCGGTTCCGCACGTATGTGCGCTTGGGTTTGTTGGATCAGTGATGCGGGCTGTATCGGACGGGGGGAGGGCCCCGGTCTGGGTGTAGGTGTTTTACGCTGTTTTCCTTCTTCCCCAGGTTATGTCGCGTGGATCGTGGGCCATTCCTTCATCGTCTGGGCCGGTCGGAGAGCTGCAGCTCGAGCACAGGGCCAACAGCTGGGCTTCCCAAAAGACCTCATAACAGTGCGATGGCTGGGTTTTAAGGGATTTGGCTGGGGCGACATGTGCGGGGTAATAATTCGGATGGTAGCAGGCGGGGCGAGGCCGGATATGCTAGTTCTACACGCAGGGGGCAATGATCTGGGCCTCATTCCGCAGCGTAGGTTGGTAAAATGGATGAAGCAGGACCTGAACAGGTTGTTCGATCTGCTTCCTGGGGTGATGCTGGTGTGGTCTGAGATCGTTCCGAGGCGTCGGTGGTGACACGCGAGGGATCCGGTAGCCATCGAAAGATGCAGGGGAAAGGTCAACAGCTTGATGGCAAGCTTCGTGAGGAAATTGGGGGGTGTGGTAGTGAGGCATGTAGAATTGGAAGGCGGGCTGCCAGGTTATTATCACACGGACGGCGTCCATCTCTCAGCGGTGGGTCTAGATTTGCTGAACTTGGGCTTGCAGGAGGGGATGCAGAGGGCTCTCTTTCTTCGGGGTGGCGGAGCTCGGTCGGCTTGAGGGGTCAAGGTCCGAGCTTGTGGCGGGATAGAGAGCTAGGGAAGGCAAAAATAGGCTCCCCATGAGGAACGTGAGGAACAGGAAGAATTGTGGTCACTGGTGGATGGTGGGTTTCGAGTCCTGGAGGTGGCTCAGAACCTGGTGGGGTAGGGGTATCTGGGTATACCCCTACCGTGGTTACTTATGGTTGGCACTTAAGTCGGTTCATGTTGGACTGAGGTTAAAGCGTTATTTATATATATTCATGTGTTTCTTATGTTGGGTCATTGCCCTGATATTTAATGAAGGTATAGATGCTAGGGCGGAGTATGGGGGCAATGACCCATGTTTTATATATATGTTAATTATTAGTATCGTTACTATGTTTGTTAATAAAGCTGTGGACTATTTTTCCCATATCCCGGTGTCAGCGTGTTATTGGGGATAGGTATCTGGGGTGGTTGTTGTCAAGGTTCCGACTGCCCATATGGCGACTATACACCAGTCATGTAGCCCCATGAAGCCAGAGCGCAGCTTAGTGGAAAAGGGCCTTGACAGGAGTTAGGAGGCGGGCATAGGAGGGACCAGTAGGTCTGTGGGATTATGGGATGGGGGCTGGCTATTTAATAGGCAGCCATTTTAAAATGTGCACATTAATTTCTGCCTAGCTGCGTTTGTCCCACCCTCCCTCCCTGTAATAGGTTGTTTCTGCTTTTATCCCGTTTTGTCACAGCGGCGGGATAGAGAGCTAGGGAAGGCAAAAATAGGCTCCCCATGAGGAACGTGAGGAACAGGAAGAATTGTGGTCACTGGTGGATGGTGGGTTTCGAGTCCTGGAGGTGGCTCAGAACCTGGTAGGGTAGGGGTATCTGGGTATACCCCTACCGTGGTTACTTATGGTTGGCACTTAAGTCGGTTCATGTTGGACTGAGGTTAAAGCGTTATTTATATATATTCATGTGTTTCTTATGTTGGGTCATTGCCCTGATATTTAATGAAGGTATAGATGCGAGGGCGGAGTATGGGGGCAATGACCCATGTTTTATATATATGTTAATTATTAGTATCGTTACTATGTTTGTTAATAAAGCTGTGGACTATTTATCTTTCTTATGATATGTTTGGTTCTGAAGAATTACACTGAAAAGAAATATGTACAGAATCATACATATCCCTGTTTGCCTCTACTCTCTGGATTAAACACGTTTAATGTTTCACTTAATTTGCCATTGGCATTATACATTTTATTTTAACACTGCTGGATTTTATTTGTTATTGGCCCTTCTGAAAATATTATAGCAATTTGTATTTTATAGGTATTTTATAATATTCCGATGTGGCGAAAGTAACCTTCCTGGAAGTCATAGTTTTGACCGACCGCAAGCATGGCCCCATGCCCAAAACAGATCCAGAGAATTAGGCTGTGCAGCCAGTCTATTTTAAACAATCGAATTACCATTCGAATTACCGATCGGAATGGTGAATGACCATAGTCTATGTGTGTCCCTTGTTCGTGGGCTTCGACTCACCGAACGCCGCTTGACTCCTGTTCGAATAGTCAAAATTTCCTGGAAGGTAACTGTTCAGCGGTGTTCGTGCCGTTGCTTGTCCAATTTGAGTTCCATGACCTCTACGAGAAAACACAGCTGAACTCGTTTGAATGCTAAAATGTCGAATGGCGGCCGCTTCGACCACTTCGACTTCTTCGACTTTAGCCAAAGTTCCCCTTTGAGAGTGTAAATCTGTTCCAATACAAGTCCAAGAGGCAGAAAGAGTATATTTAACCCACAGTTCACCACAGGGCCATAACCACAGGATAGGAGGCTGGCAAACAGGCCCCTCAAAAAACCAATGGTGAGGTCACTTTTGCCACAGCTAAACTTTGATTCACTGTATTTATGCAGAGTTTTGAGAAGTAAGCACTCCACACATTGATTGAGATTTGTTTATAATCTGTATTGAGTATTGGGGACCGTGCCACCATTGGCCCTCTGTTGCCAACTTGCTATGCATGCTGAGGATGGACAGATTTTATGTCCAGAACTGATATTTGAAGCCTTTTTAATACTAACCAAGAGTCCCCAGCAATCCATCAGCCTTGGGCTGATGATTAGCCTGAGCAGCAATGGGCAGCTGTGATTGGTTGAGAGTGTCACCTGACTTTTTATCATATCTTACACCCCTCAGATTCCTAAAGCACTTTATTGTGCTGAAAGGATTTACATGTAAAGAGTGTGTCCCCTTCTTTTTCATTTTACAAAAAGAGCAGATTTCAATAGTGTAATAGGAATGTTTCTTGATAGTGTCACTGCCATTAAAGTCATTGTCTATTACTATTGTTGTGAGAATTTTAAGCTACAGAATTTGAATATATTTTCATATGTTGTGTAAAAATCTCACCATACATTAAATGACGTGTTGCTGGAGGCTATTCCTTGTGGGGAATAAAGTGCTTAGGGTCTTCTTGCCCTCACCCACCCCACCAGTAGAGATGTCGTGAACCGTCCGCGAACTTCTCGCGAACGGTTTGCCCGGTTCGCCACGAACCGTTCGCGGCGAACTCGGTCAGCTGACACATCGACCAATCTCAGCAGACCCTCCCTCCCAGACCCTCCTACTTCCTGGACAGCATCCATGTTGAAGGCAGCTTCAACATGGATGCTGTCCAGGAGGTGGGAGGGTTGGAGGGAGGGTCTGCCGGAGATTGGCAGGGATGTGTCAGCTGACCGGAGTTCGCCAAACGGTTCGTGGCGAACCACGGCGAACCGTTCGCGAGAAGTTCGCGGACGGTTCGCGACATCTCTACCCACCAGCTGTGGAGAAATAGGTACATAACGTATCAATCACAAAACAAATCCTAATATCTAATTGTGCATTATTGCAAAATGAAAAAAGAGAGGGGGTGTACCAGCGCTAAATATTCCCCAACCAGTGAACTGTGTTCCAAATAACTAAAGTAGCTGCTATCACACCAAATTCTTATCTTACAAGAATAGGAACCCAAAAAAAACTTTGTGGTGTAGCGCTATATTTAAATAGAAGGGTAGTGATAAAAACTAGGTATATATCGATACTACCTTGAAATTCCTTATGTCTTTATATTCACATAAGAGTATAAATTCTACAAGACATAAAAACAGACAGACCAAACATAGTGCAAACTGTATAATAAAGTCCGTTATAGAGAATAAGGAAGGGAAAATTTCCCACTCACAATTTTAGGAGCTAATATGAAATAGCTCAATATCTGCGCTCTTGGGGTCCGTAAAGGCGACCCTCACCCTTCTTGTGTATAGATCTCCTTGGTTTCCTATAGAAGTAGAAACCGTATATGGTGCAGTATCGTAATAATTATCAATGTGAGATAAATATAAAATGTAATACTCACAAAATTAGAGCCATCCAGATCGGCTCTAATCCACACACTTGTGTAGTTGAGGACTACACACCTTCTTTGTGAAAAATGAATAAGAAGTAGCAGGGAAATGCCAATATATAGTATAAAATGTAAATAATTTTATTATAACGGTAATTGTATAAAAATATATATATATATATATAAAAAACAATAAAAAACAATATCAAATTGGCATAAAATCCAAAAGTCCAAAGTCTCACAGTCTCTCCAGTACGCGTTTCGCCTTACAGGCTTCCTCAGCTGGATGTGGTGATTCAAACTTCCCATGGATTCTCCCTGCTATATGTACCCCTCTCAGGGGTGAGATAATTAGTGTCCAGGCTTGTATTTTCGCGGGCAATCACCATAGAAACGGTGACGCCCTGCGTTTCAAGCCTTTTTTCTATTCATTTCCGGGTTTTTCTGTTCCGTTGCGTCACTTCCGGTTTCGCCGATACGTCACTTCCTTGCGTTCCACCATGCGGTTCACTGTGCGTTCCACCATGCGGTTCACCATTTATTTCCCCAGGATTTCCGGGTCAGCGGTTTTTGAAGGGAAATATAAGTTCAAATGAATTTAACATATCTGTGGAATTGGCAAGCTTTCTTTGTCTAACATATACAAGCCTTATATTGGTACATCCATACCCTTAATAATTAAATTTCATTCTGTAGTGTTTTTTTTCCTCTATTCCTATTTCTTGTATAAGTGTATTTTACAGGCATATTGTGATCTTATGTCATTATTAAAAAGATGAATTCTTAAGAGATAATGGGTATTAATAAATGAATCAGTGGTTATACAATTAAAACACCTTATAAATGTCTAATTCTAGATATTATAAAAGTTGAAACATAATTCAGTCAATGCTCACATAGTAAAAAAAGTGATAAAGCAATAAAGGGAGGTATGCGTGCAACCATAAAAAAAATTTTTTTTGCATTTATTTTAAAAAATGGCACATCTCAAAGTCCGCATTTAGACCATTCGGGATTAAAGTATTTAATTTAAAAATCCACTCCATCTCTATTTTACTCATTTTGCTATCAAAGTTGCCTCCCCTCCAATCCTTTTTGACTTTTATAATTCCTAAAAACGTAGTGTCTTTCATGTCGCATTTATGTGCAATTTTGTAGTGTAAAGAGACGCTATGTTTTTCAAAACCTTTTAAAATGTTACGACTATGTTCTTCAATTCTGATATGTAGGGGTCTGGTGGTTTTCCCTATATAACATAGACCACAAGGGCAGATCATTAAGTAAATGAGGTTTTTTGAGTGGCAACTCAGAAAATCTTTAATTTGATATTCTTTACCATCTTTATCTTTAAAAAGCTTTATATGTCTTTTTTTATTATTTGACCTTTTGCACGCTAAGCATTGGCCACACCCAAAAAATCCCTTATCCGAATTTAAAAAAGTATTCGTACTTTTCTTTTCCTTTAAAAAGCTTGAAGTCAGAGAATGGCGTAAATTGTCAACCCCTCTGTGTATAAATTTAGGTCTTTCTGGAAGAAAAGGTTTTACACCAGGATCTTGTAATAAAATTGGCCAGAACTTAGAGATTATTTTTCTTACTTTTTTGTTATCTGTGCTGAAATTGCATATAAAAGGGAGTTCCATAAATGTATTTTCCCTTTTATCCTTATATTTCAAAAGTTTCTCTCTTTCTATCATTCTTACTTCTTTCCTGGCCATTTCTAATTTTAACTCTTCATATCCTTTCTCTATAAAATCTTCTTTAATTTTAATAGATTGGGTCTCAAATACAGTTGGATCCGTACAGTTACGCCTAATACGTAGAAACTGTCCTCTGGGGGGCAACTTTCTCTCTCTATGTAGCTATTAGCTTCTACCGTCTTAAAATAGTTTCTAGTTTTAATCTTGTTTTCTTCAATGTATATCACTAGATCTAAGAAAATTATTTCCGTCTTGCTCCAATTGCTACTGAGCGTTATGCCCCAGGTATTCTCATTTAAAAAATTTAAAAATTCAATAAGATCTTTTTCTTCTCCTTTCCATACAAAGAAAATATCGTCAATGTAACGACCATAGGTAACCAAGCTTTCTCCCCAGCCATGAGTGCCATAAATAAACGTATTCTCCCAATGGGCCATGAATAAATTGGCATAGCTGGGGGCAAACTTGGTTCCCATGGCCGTCCCATTAATCTGGAGGTAGAAGTCCTCTCCATACCAAAAATAATTGTTATTTAAAATTAACTCAATCCCTTCTAAGATGTATTTAGTTTTGCTATCTGTAAAATCTGGACTTTCACTTAAAAAATGTTTAACAGCATTACAACCATATTGGTGTGGGATGTTACTATAGAGAGCTGCAACATCACTTGTAACTAAAAAGCAGTCACTATTCCAAGTGCAATTTTCCAAAAGATTTAAAA